TGGTTTTGTGTTGTACCCCGGTTGTCTGGAAGCTGGAGCGACGATACGAGCTTAGTCTTTTTGTGCTTATTAATTAAAGTGTTAATCCCCTCCCAAGTTTTTTTCATATTATTTAGGTTTCTACTAAAATAGGATTGATAGTAAAGTCTTTTACTCTGGCGAGTAAGGCTTAAAATTGTGTTCCTGTACAGCTTGTATGTAGCCATGTCACCAGAGTAAAAGAGATCGTTCTTTATTTTTATTGATCTACGTAAACCTCTAGTTATCCACGGTTTAGATAGTTGCTTGGCCTTGCGTTTTGATACAATTTTGAGAGGAGCATGTCTATTAGCAAGTTTATTCAATTTGTTGTAGAACGAAGAAAAACGTTTGTCAATAGAGCCATTAGAGATCAAACCGGTCCAGTCAGTTCGAGAAATATCACTAATAAAGTTTTCTTCCGAGAATCTCGAATAGTCACGGATTTTAGTCCCCCGATAGCGAGATTTTAAAGATGGAGAATGGATGATGCAAAATTGAGAGAAGTGGTCACGTATATCTGAGATAATGTTACCGCTGGAAAGTTTGAAGCCAATTCTGTTTACAAGAATATTGTCAATAAGCGTGGCAGAATTATTATGGACTCTTGCAGGCTTGTCAATTACTGGAAAAAAGGAGTAACTTTGCAGAGACAGCAGAAAGTTATGAGAAAAATCACAGGTTTCAGATTTGAGGAGATCAATGTTGAAGTCGCCCATGACATATATCGGTTTACTAGTAGAGCTTAGTCTTTCTATTGTCATGTCGAAATACGTTTGAAATTGTTCAGGAGAAGTATGTTGCCGATAGATTACACCACATATAACATTTTTATCTTTTAAAAATTATAGTTCCATCCATAAGGCCTGGAGAGCCTCGTTAGAGGTTTTTTCGAGGACTGTGTAGTTTAAACTGGCGTCAACAAACATACCGACACCTCCACAAGAAAGAGGAGTTGGCACCTGTTCGAATCGGTAATTAGGTATATGTGGATTAAAGTCTATTCTAGCCGAATTTGTAATTTCAGTTTCGGTTATTCCGATTACGCTGAAGTGGTAGTCTAGTTCATCCAGTAAATGTACTTGCAGATTTTCAAGGTTACGGCGAAGGCTTCGTACATTATTATGTAGAATTGAGAAAAATGTTTTGTTTTCATCTCGCATGAGATCGTTTTTAAACTTGGAAAAGCTATGTGGTGAGAAATATCGGCTTCGAATTTGTTGATTATTTAGGTTGCTATCAGGATTGACACTACTTTAAGTATTCAAACTAAAAATATCTAACTTTTGGAGGCTACGGAGCTTATCTAAGTACTTTTTCGTTGGCAAGTTACTGTTCAGGCTATTATTGAACTGACCATGCGTTCGGATGATATCAACATTTGAGAAAGGAAGGTTTTTTAATAAAGATTTGTTTGCTCGGCAAACATATCTGTCACTTAGGACTACCATTGAGAGTTGTTATTACGAGATATATACTTAGCTTTGGTCTCCGTTTTCCAGACTGAGCAGATCACCAATATTCTTGATCTTGATGGCTCGAGACGTAGCATCTTTCCGTAAATAAACAAAGGAGCCCTTTGACCAACAGTACTGGTAATAATGCTGTTCTTTAAACTTCTTCGCCTCGAACAGGACTGTTTGCATTCGGGGTGACAAATGATCAAAAATTCTAACCGCGCTTAACGAGGCATCCTCAGGGAGTCCAACGGAAGCCGGGTCCAATTTGCATGCATCTTTACGATGATTCATGACGCTTTCTTTGGCTAAACGCCTGACAAATCTACAAACTATCGGCTTTGGCTTTCCATTGTTATTCCTGCTGGGAACACGATGGGCGGTGTCGATGTCATACATCGATAGATCAGCTCCCGTTTCTTTAAAAATGTTTAGGCAAAGCTTGCTTATCGAGGCTGCGGATTCATCTTGCAGCCTCTCAGGCACTCCCACAATTTTTACATTATACTGGAAACTATGTTCTTGAATTTCGTCAATAGCATTTCCAATAATATCTACCTTGGCTTTCAGCTCTTCGAGTTTGGTGCTTAGTCGCTGGAGTTCGTCTTTGGCCATGCCGCTAAAGAGATGGAAGTCGTCGTATTTCTTGCTCAAGAACTCTACACATTGGGCACCTTCTTCGCTGGGCAGAACTTCTTCGCTTCTCTCGCTATGTCGCTGTATCAACTCCTTCAATCTAGCTACCTCGTCCGACATTGACGATAGTTGCGCTTTAAGTATGTTATTCTCCTTCTTCAAAGCCGCAACTGACCCAGGCATTGCACAAAGGTTAAACGAAAGGACACACACAAAAAAATACAGAATACAAAAATAAGAAAAAGCAAAGAATATAAAGAAACTTAGCGGAGCTCAAAAATCACAACCGTCTTGACCAACATCCGCTCATGGTGACTGGTCATTATCTCGATCTTTGGTGGAAAACTGATTATCACTATAAAGGAAATTTACGAATGAAAAACATTATCAAATGACTTTTAATTACAAATAAAATGATTCATAGAAACGTGTAAAAAGAGAAGCAAGACAAATATCAAGATTTCAGATTTGCTTTTGAGTGTTATTTGACTTTTTTCAGGATGTTCGCATTTTATGTTAATCAATCTTTTGAGGAGGGACGTTCTTAATAATTATTAGCTTGTAGAAGGTCATTTGTTTTTGTTATAGTTCCGAAATTCCGAACTTTTACGTGTAAAAAAGGTCCTGAAAAATTGTATGTTTTACGTACCTATGACGTGTGAAGGAGTCACCGGCCTCGCCAGTATATCCTCCAAGTGTGAGCGTGTAATTTTCTGCCTCGTCTGTGACATTGAAAGTGGCGTACTTAGCGTACGTGATGTTCCCTTCAAAGTCTTCCAAGTCAACTCTCAACATGACGTCATCAGCGGCTGTCAAACGGTGAAGATTGTCGCTTCCAAGCCAGAACTCGCCGATCAGATTTCCAAACCCGTCTTTGTAAGTTCTCCAGTCACGTTCGAAGTCAACGGAGCCGTCCAAACGTCTTTGAAAAACGGTCCAACCTCCATCATCCGTGGTCATGTCACACAACACTTGAATTGGTTTGCCGCCATCTGGATTAATCGTGTACACTCCACTAGATGCAACGCCATCTTTAAGGAGCTGCTTGCAACTTTGTGCTTCTGCCGTATGTGCAACAGAAGTAAATCATAAGATTGATTACACTTTTTTGATAAAGCATTGCGAGGAGAGCTGATGCGGTACTTTAGGATCTTTACTGTTTGCAAGATTTGTTGTTAGATGATTATGAACACAGCAGTGGCTTACCTTGAAGCTCACCAGTCGGATTCTCTGTTCCCACAGGAGTCCCGGATTTTTGTATTGTCTTACCCTCTTGAAAAAGCGAGGGACAACTTTCGTTATTTCGCAAATCCAACTCAAAATTTATTTCCTTTCGTCTTAATAAAAATCATATCCTCATTCGGTGTATCCAAAAATACTAAAAAAGATCGACTAGGAAATTTGACCAAGTGATAACAATGTGAAAAATTCCACTTTAAAGAAGCCTCCAGTTGCAGATCAAGTTAACTTTGAAGTGAGGAAAACACCTCGTATTAAAAAGATTCTGTTCCAAACATGCATTCTATCAGTAGAGAGTCGAAAATTGGTGAAAGCGCCAGCCACAATACCTACCGCATGGTTTTCCAGTATATCCAGATGCATAACGACATTTGCATTCTGCAGTGTTGTCTTTATAATTGGGAACACAGATTTCGTTTTTTGCACAAAGGGAAGAATTGACCTCACAATCGCTCTGTTGAAACAAAAACACCTGATTAATTTTACTACAACAAACGTATCCTTTAGATTGATTGTTCGATACACTTTTAAAATTGCACCTGTTTCATTTTTCAGATTGAATTGTAAGCTTCTAGACCGGCCAACACAAAGATTTCTGAAAGGACTAACACTCAGTGTTTTAAATTAACTGAGGGGATTGTAACGCCTTTGCTATGATATCTGCAAATGGTTGGACGTTCTTGTCTTCTCGCACAAGGACGATCGAGTATCACCTAATTGTTCTGAATTCTATTTACCAGTGAGTTGAAAATAAACTGGATATAACGTCTCTGTTGCTGAAAGGGGAAGAAGTAGTATCAGATAAACAGACGTGGCTCAAATTGTTCAAAAGCACCTAAATAACCTAGACAAAAGGATACATAACGCAATTATTTTTTCCAAAGTAAATCTAAATCAACCTGGTAAACTTATGCTTTCGTTGTGCCCTTCATTGGTTTGTTTCGAATATCGCCGACAGTGCATTTACACCTGGGGATAAGTTAATTATAAAAACTCAAAAATATTATTTTGATTCTTAGGATTCACCACGAGGTTTCTATGGATGCAGTTCCGTTGATAACGAAGGACCCCTATCAATTAATAATTTTCTTTAGTTGCCAACAAGTTCGCTGATGAATTACTCTCAGAGTCAAATACAGACAATTGAGAGATATGTATTCTAAACTGATCAGTAAAAAAATAACAGAGGGCATTTTCTACACGAGCTTTGTAAAAAATATATTTTTCTTTAGCAAAGTTAACGTTACAATCACAATAGCAAATATATTATGCCTTTAAAACTTTAATGAACTCACAGAAAAACAATCTTTTTGTAATACGATTGCTCAAGAAAAACATCCATATGGACTGTTTCCAAAGAGAAAAAGGAAATTCTACCGCGATTTAAATAATTGAAAAGTTTTTTGTGTGCTGCAGATGCTTACCTCTCACATAATTAGAATTAACCTAAAACTTAAATTTGCGACCAAAGAACTAAAAAGCAAGTCTTCAAGGAGTTATGTTCCATCTTTGATATTCTCTTTCCATTATATTCCTTGAACAAATCCTTACCTTCCAATTTTACCTGAGAATATTGAGAATATATGGTTTTAATAACACAGCTGATTACACTGTCCTTGTTTTACACATTATATAATTTTTTTCCCGTCACTAAAGGGCGAGGAGGTTTGAGTTTTCTTTTTTAATCCGAAGTTGTTTCAGTAGAATCCTGAAAGACTCAAAAATTTACACATCATTTCAGCGAACACTTTTGCAAAGTCAAGTTTATTATAAAGGGAATGTAANATTCGAGGGTCTCCGCATGTAAAAGCAATTGCTAAGGACGCTAAAAGTGGTTTAATCAGATACATGTTTCGGAGTCTCTTACTTAGATGCCTCGGAATCTCTCAGTGGTTGATGTTTATCGCAGTTTTTAGTTTTCAACTTCGCATTCTTAATTATTAATCGTTAACTTGTTGTAATTTCAATTGAGGGAAAAGAAAACAATCAATACACAAATTACGTTATTGTAAAGGAGGAGAGTGAATGTAAATCAAAGGTGTTCCTAAGTCATCCGTCGTTGCCCGCCAGTTCCCGATAGAATGTTTTGGTACTTGCAATTGTACATTTAAGTTTGGGGTCAGATTTTTATTGAACTGGACGCACACACCTGAAGAAAATTTTGGTGTTTTGACAGAGTTCCAGACCCTCGGAAAACCTCTCCCCACCCCCGTCTGTAATTGTCCCGCTTCATGCAGTGCAGGTAACTGGGGCGCGCTTGCAGGCCATTACTTTAATCCTCTCGTAGACTTTTCGTTGCCTCCAATGACATCGTCTTCCTCAACGAAAATTTTGGAACAAAGTCAGTGCTAACAATTGACTTAATTCTCTTCCTCGGGATCCGCATATTTTGGTTTCCTCAAGTAGGTCTATGTAATTTCGCTTACTCATCTCGACAGCCAATAATGCAAAATGATAAACGAAAGCAGCGTAAACAGCTCTCTAGGCGTGCAATCCTCTCAAATTCCTCTGACTGCCTCTACCCCCCACCCTCCGGTGATAAATAATGGCGGAGTGCCTAAGTGGCAAATAAATTTCGGGTGGCAATTACCGACAAACATTTTTTTTAGCATTCGAGTTTGCTTATTATAATAACAGGAAAGAGACTAAAGCCAAATGAAGAATTCATTTACAGGGAGGGCTGACAAGGAGGATGGCGAAGCTGATTTCCGCTCCAATTGTAAAGAAACGTCCCAAAGTTGTTGGCTTAAAAAGATACACAATAGATCCAGGAAAATTTGACTGCTTGGTTTGAAACTTTGATTCACAAAACACAGGGTTTAGTCTACATTGGAGACTGGATAAGTTAACACACATTTCGTCCATGGTCATTGTCTCTCTAGATAAAAGCTAGCACAACCTTGTTCCTGGGGACTTGTGCGTGAGCTTAAGCTGATCAATAACTTGAGGCTTTCTTTAAAAATCTAATTCGGTAACACACACTAAGTGAATCAATAAAATGAATAAATCATGAATATTGGTCGCCGGGAAGAACGATTACGAAATATAACTAAGTAACTAGAAGCATACTAGGGAAGGATGCGAACGTGACACCGAAACCATCGTCGGCGCACACCCAAGGGAATGACAACTACAGCTTATGCCACATATCTGGTTTACTAAAACTATCAGTCGGTTAAGATTGATCCACTAAAGCTATGAGAAAAGGATCGTTTCAATTATGTCGCCATACGTAAAATCATGCATTTGTCATCCTGCGAAACTGTCTTATTTCTTGGTTTTGACTTTCATCTCAGTGCGTTTTAGTGAGTAGTATAGGCCCCTGAATGTGCTCCAGTTGACACCATTAGCACAACAGGCATGTCGGCCATTGAGGTACAATCCGTTCAGATTGGAACCATGACAGCTACTCAACCATCACGCCCCCCTTGAAGAGTTGGGAACAGCTGGCATTATATAGATCACTACCTTGATCTTTTGTGGAAAACTGCATTTGGCTGGAATAAAAATAAAACTGCCATGTTTATTTCTGCACAGCCATTGTAGAGATAAATGTTCTCATTAAACTTAGAAAACCAATTCTGCTCAAAGGAATTACATCGACAAATTGCCTTACAGAAAAATCGAGAGACACCAGAGAGATAGAGATGAAGAACTAGATTTGTAATACAATATCATAGAGAAGAATAGAATAGATTAGTTAGTCGTAAAAAAGACCAACCGGAGAAATCTTTTAACAATGGAAATAGATGCCGTTCAGTTTCTTTCCGGTATCAGTTCTCTAAGGCTACAAATGGTAATCATAACGCGCCCCTCTTCCGGCTGGTTATAGATACCCTCTCTGTCAACACGAAAACATTTCTTACTTTTGTGGTGCCATAGAGTCCCCAGCCGTTCCACTGTATCCTCCAGTTAAAAGCCTGTACTTATCTGCCTCGCCTGCCACCTTAAAAGTCGTGTACTCAGCGTACTTGATGTTCTCATCAAAGTCTTCCATGTGAACTCTCAACATGACGCCACCAGCGACTGTCAAACGGTGAAGATTGTCGTTTCCGAGCCAGAATTCGCTTTTCAGAATTCCAAATCCTCTTATGTAGGATTCCCATCCCCGATAGAAGTCAATAGAGCCATCCAAACGTCTCTGAAAAATAGTCCAACCTCCACCATCCGTGGTCATGTCACACAACACTTGAATTGGTTTGCCGCCATCTGGATTGATGGTGTACACGCCACTGGAGGTGATACCACCTTGACGGAGCAGAGCACAGCTTTTTGGATCTGTTAATTGTAAAAAGTGAGATATAGTTTTGATAGAGAACTCATTTTCATCTTAAAGGAGCTTTAGAACGTTTGTAACGACGGGTTTAAGGTAAGGAATGCTGGCTCTTGTTGACTCTTTCTAACGCGAT